AATTACATTTTTACACTAAAAAGTCAATCATGGTACTATTCATTTTACCATTTATTTTGTCTTTATCGTTAAAACTCAAAGTTTTCAAACCATTTTCATTAACTTTCCTTTCATTTAAAAGTCATTTAATCAGTGCAATCGAGAACTTTACCATGTAAAAATTCAGAAGGTGGAGGTGGTGTACAAAGATTCTCTGCAATATTGGATTATCAAGTGGATTTTACATTGGAGCACTGTCCTATTAGAGTTGGTTGGTCGAAGATTTGGAGGCAGATAATAATTATTAGTACTTAACCTTTAACCGTTAGATATTTAGCTAGGGTTGTTATTGGCTTGATTTTCAGTTGTTTAAGCTTTTTTTTTTTCTTTTTTTTTTTGGAAAAGACAATAGCTTAGTGGTTAAATGTTAGATTAGAGAGCTGACGGAGTTCAAACTCACGTCGAGATACAATAGCATAACTCATTTCCACCATGTAGTCTTGTTTACTTCAAAATGTTTCAATACAAGTCTAATATGTCCCCAGTTCTACAAGTTAAAAAGAAACATTATTCTTAATTTCTTACCTAAAAGACAATAAACACAATTATTAAACATGACCCTTCCATTAATATTATACAGTCTTCTTTTTTATATTGGTGGTACTATACACTAAATTAATTTAAATTATGCAGAAGAAGTTTCGAACTTAAGTGCATTGGAAAGAACATAATTATCTTTTTTGTTACTTAATATATTTTGAATCTAATGAGTTGTTGAGTCCAATCCAATACTAGACAGAATTCAGGGTCTCTTTTCTGGGAACTTTGATTTAGGGTTTAACGTGACCTAGATTGTCTTCAAGCTTGCAGGAGCTCAGGGAGGGCGATGTACCATCCTTGTAACGTGACACAGGGTGGACCCACAGAACACCTCAACATTTCAATGTTTGGTGGATCTAGATTGTCTTCAAGCTTATTCCAGTGACGTGTAAAAGCTATCTTTAAAAAGGATGGGACACTTGTCGAACCACTTGACCTAGTCATCCTGTTTCCAGTATTACGATCTCCGATCTTTTATATCCGTGGCTTGATTCTGCTTGGCTTCCCAGAATTTGGCTCGCTGCATGAGTTTGTCATCTTTTTCATTTACATGGGTTAATTATATTGTCTTTATATTTTTACGAAAAATTAATGAAAATAATTTTAAAATATTAAGTTTTAACGATAAGGATAAAATGAAAAGTAAAGTAAATAGTATCAGAATTGACTTTTTTAGTGTAAAAATATTGTTTTTCGTTAAAATAAACAGTACGAAAGTTTTTTTTGTTAAAGTTCATTTTTTTTAAGCTTACTTTTTATTGTTTTGAGAATGCTACTTTTACTAAAAAAAAAGGAAAAAAATATGTCCATTTGTTTGATTCATATGAATATGATTAAATTATTTTTATTGAATGTTTTATTTTTATATTTTTTGTAAATCTTTAGATAATAATAAAGCAAATAAAAGGCACCTATTATGTGTTTGTATGATTAAGATACATTATTACAAGGCATATTTATTGATTTACTATCTAAACTTGTGTGGAAATACCAATTTCCCCCTAAGCTTTAATTTTAGCCGATTACTCTCTTGAACTTTTATAATTAGCTAATTTCGCCCTGAACTATAATTTTACCCGATTACCCCCTCAAACTTTTATAAATAGCCAATTTCCCTCATAGACTATAATTTTACCCGATTACCCCCTCGAACTTTTATAAATAGCCAATTTCCCTCCTGGTGTTAGAATTTAAAACTTTTCATTCAATTTTCCATCCATTTTTATCATGAAAACAACACATGACAACTGTATAAGGGTAAAAATGATGAAAAATTGGATGGATGAAAAATTGAATGAAAGTATTGTTTTTTTAAATCTAATGTAGGGGGAATTAGCTATTTATAAAAGTTCAAGGAGGTACGTAATCGGCTAAATTTCAAGTTCAAGGGAGAAATTTGCTAATTGAAAAAGTTTAAGGGGGTAATCAACTAAAATTAAAGTTCAGAAGTGTTGATGTTTAAAGGTTGTTTTGTATTTCTTTCATAATCTGCAACGCAACTATACATGCATGTATAAGGAGGCCATCCCTCCTTGAGACTCTAACCTTCCTTAATTTACGCCATAATGAGCGGCTTAGGCAAGCTAACAATAGCTCCTTGAATTAAGGAGTTGACAACTATACAAGAATTGCTAAACACAAGAAAAAGAAAATAGCCGGCACTTAGGAAACAGTAACTAAACCCCTATTGTCCAGTTTTACAGTGAAGCACCATAATACTTTAGAAACCCTAATAAACCACTGGACATCCAAGACTTCCAATAAGAAGAAAAATTAGCAGCTGCATATAAGTTCATAGAGCAAATCAACAAATACCTCTTATTGTAAATGGAAGAACAAGTATTGGATGGAGCGGTGTAAGTCTAGATCGAAGTGAACCCTGTTTGGCTATTTTAAGACAAAATTAACAAATATGTGTAAATATAATTAAAAATAGATAAGAGTTAAGTAGTGAGTTAGTGAGTAAGGAAATTATCCTTACAATAAAGACATTGAAAGAATGAGAAAAAACAGGTGAGTGAGACTGTGAGAGTGAGATGAGGTGAAAATAGCATCACTCAAAATTACTGGATATGCTTACGTGTATTGCCCCCTTAACCCCAAACACTATAGTAGTTGCTCAAATAAGTTCTAAAAAAAACAGAAGCAAATTGGATGGCTCCAAAGTAAAGAAGCCATTTTAGCCGGTTGCTTTTACTGAATTTAGCTTAAGCCATCACCACCTCAATTCTAGCCGGTTGCTCTTTTACTGAATTTAGCTTAAGCCATCACCACCTCAACTCTCTCTCTCTCTCTCTCTCTCTCTCTCTCTCAAGTCTCAAAGCCTTCGTCTTCTTATAAGAACCCTGAAACACCTTGTGTTCATAGAAAGACCTTCCTTTCTACGTTTTAATTTTCACATCTTCTCTCTCATTTGCTTTGTTTTCCCAATCTCTTTGTAACAGTCGTATAGCTTGGGTCACGAACCTACACTAACAACGTTCATTGGTACATCACACGGCCAGCTTCGTCGGTTGTTACAGAGAGACAATTAGTTTTAGAATAAATAAAAACATAAGTCATCATGGGTTTTCTTCACAAGCTTTGGGATGAAACACTAGCCGGACCGGCACCTGAATCCGGCCTCGGCAAGCTCCGAAAGTACGACTCCATGTCTATCCCGTCCTCTTTGCCAATGGCTGCGAATGAGGTTCCGGTCACTCGGAGCATTACTATTCTTAGGACTAGTTCGTCCACCCTTGGAAACCTTTCACCTGATTCCGGCTCCCCCTCAGAGTCCCCAACCACACCAGGAACTCCAAGAACCCGTAAGTTATCTAATTTATAGTCTCTAAATTAACTACAAATAACATGAATTGACACCGTGATAAATTTGGTATGCCTTAAAAGAAATAACAGAATTAGTTGGTGCTCTAATAGTAATTCTAATGTTTAAAATATTGTATCAGTGGACATTGATATGCAAATATGTGGAAATATCGATATATTTGTCTAGCATGGAAAAATTGTTTGTCTAGCATGGAAAAATTGTTAGATACAACGAGTGTAAATATACTACACTCCTGTTGCGACCAACTTGCTTGGATATAGGTATCATATTCTTAAATGTATAACTCTTTTTTTTGTGAGATATTTGTATGTTTAATTTTGTTTATGTCTATGAATTCTTTTGATTTTACGTGCAGCTGGAACACCAGGTGCAAGGAATTTCAAGAAATTAACAAGGAGGAAATCGTCTGCTGATGCTTTGACACGCGCCGAACCTAGAAGTCCGACTGGTTACGATTGGTAAGTGTTAGCTATGTTTAGAATGATAGTGAATCAAAAGAAGCATGCATATATATATCCTTGCTTCTCTAGCTAACCCCCAGTAGATATCAGAGTCAACTTGAAGAAGCATGCATATATCATTTGGTTTAGATAATTCTCACTAGATTAAGAACTGATCAAGTCAACCCCAATTGAAAACAAGATTAGGAATTTGGGACTATCTAGGAAATGAATTTGGTACTCTTACCCTTGGGCTAGATATGCATAGGGTAGTTAAATAATCTGATATGTTATATTGTTAGACTGTCAAACGTGACCATGCATTCAAAATGCATGTAGATTGAGTATGATAATATAACGTGCAGACTTGACACAGTCTTCCTTATATAGGTCTCACAAAATACTAAGGTTCTTTTTGTAGATAATCGATGCATTAATATCGGAGGAGAAGATTGTTTAACAAATACTAGTTATACTTTAACCTCCCTTATTATTTCTTATTTGTGTGTATTACAGGATGGTAATTACTGCTTTGGATCGTTGAGAGAGGAAGTGAAGAAGATTTTGCTAAAGTATCGGCCGGCGACTCCACATCATTGTACATAGAGAACCTTACCTTTATGGGAACTTGATGCATATACAAGTGTATAGATGTAATTATCTAAGTACGTACTACATATAATAATAAGACGGTTCAACTGACGAGGAACAGCAGAGGAACCGATGCTCCTTGGAGATTATGGAGGAGTTGAAGTAGGGTTTGCTATTTCACCTATTTTCATGTTTCCATGTGATCTTCAAGTTTTGTTTTGTATTTTTATTTGATCTTTGTACATATGGATTTGTGTATTCAATCCTCCCCTTCATGAAACTCCTAAATTTGGAGCTTAATAATTAACTTAAAAGTTTACTCTTAAATCTTGATTTTCATCATTGTTTGTTCACACGGTAGTAAGTTTCCTCATATTTCAAGCAAAAAAATAAAATAAAGAACAAATGGTTATCAAACGAACCCATACAATTTAACGCGACATGCATATAAAAGTGTGAGAATGCGTCATGCGTATAGAAGTGTGGGATTAATAATTAGCTATTTTCAAAGTGCAATATTTTTCCTGCTGTGTTTATTGTATAATATTGGAAACCAAACATAAAATTCAAACATTCGATCAGATATTCTGGCTTTGAGTAAAACTTCTTATGTGGATTACACACAATAATTATGAAAATTGACATCTTGAATATTCAAGAGTGTTGCTGTTCGAGCCTTATACCGCATTCGAGTTTGACTTAATCTAAATGGAAAATGAAGGGGGGAAAAAGAAACAAAACTTGACTGAGAAACAAGGTATTGTTTTTTTTTATATCAACTCTGGAGGTCCCTATGTTGAACCAGATTTCACTTTCTCAATCAGATCAGCAGCGTCTTGAACGGTTGCGATGTTCTCAGCTCCTCCTTCTCCGACGGACACACCGAACTTCTCCTCCAAAGCCATTAGGATTTCAACCTGTTTCATTTTCTTTCCGTTGATCAGATATTTATGTGCAGAGAGTGAAATAAATAATTGAACAAAAAGTAAAATATTGAACAGATCGGTGACATTAATCAAGCATATGAATATCTAGTCTTTTACGTCAAATTAATGACATTAATCAAGCATATGAATATTTGGTCTTTGACGTCAAATTAATGGGTGATTAATCTATTCACTATACCATCAATTAGAGAGAGTTCCAACTTCCAACTTAAGTCAATACGTAATTATCTCTGAATTAGTTTTTCAATCCTTTTTTCTGGATACAAAAGTTTTGTTGGGTATTAATCATCACCACAAAAACGATTATATACACTTAATCGAGTACTCATCCATCCTAATTAAATATTAATATCAGAAAAAAATAAAATTGTATTACTTGATTATGTGTTTGTTATATGACTTAATGAGCATATGACTTGGTTACATTAGAAGCGTTCGAATCAATAAACTATAATATTCTTAATTAACTCAATTTCGATCACTTTCTCTCACAATCTCACCACTTGGCTAATCCTAACCCCAAGGGCCTCATTTTTACCCTATATATATAGGATTAACGATAAGTTACATGATAAAAGTCATAATTAATAATTAAGTGGTACATTTTTTTTTGAAAGTTACGATATAGCGAACTGAAATAAATTACGTATATTTCGTGTGGAAATTATATGAAGAACACCACAATTATTAGTACTTTTTTACAAGTCACAGCTAATCGATTTAACATGTTACGATATATTATGCAAAGCTGCCAAAACATCACTCATCACCAATTAAAGCTAAAGACAAAAAAAAAAAAAAAAAAAAAAAAAAAACTATAGAGTAATTAGAGAAAGCATGAAGATCGAGCATCATACTGTGTCGAGAGAATCCGCCCCCAAATCGACAAACTTTGTTTCGGGAAGCACAGTGCTTTCATCAATGGAGAGTTGCTTGGCAATTGTGCTTTGCACAGTTAGCAGGGTCTCTGGTTGAGCCTGCACAAGGTAATCAAACTAGGTAAGTGCTTATTCTAGTTAATCATGGATTAGAGATATGATTAAAATAACATACATAGAATAAGCACGGATAAAGTGTACCGCGAAAAATGTTTCAAGTAACTGCATACATTTCTGATGGCATTCGGTAGAGCTTATAACTAATAACTCTGATGCATGTGTTAGTGGAAGTTATCGCATGAGAAATTACAAAAAAAATAAGGAGAAAAAAATAAGATGCAAGAGAAAGCAAGTGTAAAATTACTATAGATAGCCAAGTTAAAATATATATTTGCAGAAATATATGTAAATATATTTACAATGGCGCATGAGATTGTAGTCTTAGTGCAACTAGGGAGTGCAAATGATCTTCCTCCTGCCTTGGTGATCGCAATCTTTGGTACAAGTCTTAGCCCCTTGACCACTGGCCCTTCCTGCATTGAAAACAATCAAATCATACAATTAGTGAAAAATCCGGTCTCTCTATTATCTATTCTCACTCATAAACTGTGGAATACGCGAAGCTTGTTGCAACTGCTCACGATGAACAGAACCATGCATGTGAGTTTCCCACATAGTGTGACATATATACGACAGCCTGTACCCAATAATCTATGATTCTTGCAAAATTCGTGGCACTTACAATTCTAAAGAATCCATTGAGTTGGCAAGTTGTGCTTCTGCCCTTGGCGGTGTAAGGTAGAGTGGCAACAGAGATTGGGGAAATTGAACCAAAAGAAGCCATGATCAAGAGTTGGAAGCTTGAATAATTATGTAAAACAAGAAGAATAATAACGATAACAGCTTGTTCTTACAATGCGTATAGGCATATAGGTTTTGTAATTTGCTTCATATATAATGCAGAGATACATGAAAAATGTCTAGGGGTTTGGTCGATGATTACAATAAATCATATGGTAATGACCATGTAATTGGCGGATAATACCATAAACTGTGTCTCTTGTGCTTGTAAAGCTGGCTTTGGGTGGACTCAGTAGAGCCCTTCGTCAAAGACAACATATAAGCTTAAGCTAAACTTTGTTACAAGGGTTGTGCCATCCACACACCTATTTTTACCTCTCACACACCTTTTGTTAATTTCTATCCCTTGATCCTCTTCAATTCATTCGATCAAATGGTCAAAAATTGAGATGAATATCTAGAAGGTAAAAAAGGATGTGTATATCACACTACCCTTGTTATAATTCATATTCAATCTGCCTTTGCATCAACTTTTGATTCTAAACTAATTGTGTTTATGTTTTGGGCAATAGACCAACATAATTTGATAGTTTGGGCTGGTTTGGTACGTTGGATTAGAATGAATAACTTATTGAAGTGTAGAAGTGAATGAAATTTCATTTGGAGGGAAGGACTAGGCATGAAGAAAACTCATCCCTTGTAATCCTATCATTTTGAAGAAGATTGAAATAGAAAAGTTTTATTCCTGAGTAATCCTAGTTGGACATAATTATTTCATTTCTCCTCTCACGATAACTTTAATTAACAGTTATCCACTCCAATTCATTCTATATACCAAAAGAAGCCTTATTGACTTGGTATAAGAAGAGGTCTTAACTAAAAGGATGAGCGTGGTTCGATAACTATGAATTCGTTTGATTATGTTACACTCATAGTTAAGTTTATAGGACAAGGATTGTTTGCCCTCCTTGTTCCGTGCCCTTCCGTGCCCTCCTATTTGTGTGGTTACGGTTAAGTCACATCAACTTTTTATATTACTATTCATTTTTGTCTTATTATCTCTATAAAAACAATATAAAATGTTGACGTGGCTTAACCGTGACCACACAAAATAGGAGGGCATGGGAGGGCATGAGAACAAGTAGGGCAGACGATCCTTGTCCAAGTTTATAACCTAGCCAGGTCAAATCAAACAGTGATGTTGTACTAGTCCAGTAGCAGTTTGAGGTCTAAACTGTACCTGACCAAACTGTGTCCGCCTCTAATTTAAGTGGCTTGGTGGTAAAGATATGGATTATGGCTCTCCAATGAACAAAAAAAATATAGGAGGTCTTGGGTTCAATACTCCGAGTTGATGAGTTGCTTTACTCTGACCACAAGTAGGGTGGAATTCCTCATGACCTTTTCGGACTAGAAATGAGTGGATAAATGTTGCTTACCATAAATTGTTCCCTTTTTTCTAAAAATAAAAAAAAATTAAAAAAAAAATAAAAAAAAAAACTACAAGCCATTATCCTTGTCATTTATTTAAAGGAAAACTAATAAAAATGACTTAAAAACTTTGAGTTTTAAAGATAAACACAAAATAAGAGGTAAAGTGAATAATACTATAATTGAATTTTTAATGTAAAAATATAATTTTGTCGTTAAAATGAACAGTATCAGAAGTTTTACATTTAAAGTTTCATTTTATTTAAAGTAGCGTGGAATATAATTTGCAATAAAAATAAAAATCTCGAAAGACCAAAATTGTAAAATCACACCTAATAGCGAGGTGTCTTGGGTAGGATGCCGACATACATCTGCTTTGGTGACTTTCTTGTGCCCCACAGACGCTCGACTTGTGCCGCTGACAACAAGATCACAGAGGTCCGTCGTCCATGCACCATGCTTCCGTTTCTTTCCAAAAATGAATAAGCTTTGTGTTTGAATGATTCATGCAGATTATGGTTGATTCTGTCTCGAGACTTTTAAGATTTACGTTTTGTATGTGTGTGTGTATATATGGTTTCACATTCTCCTTTCGGGCGCCAACCATCTGTTTGTGTTAATGCCGCTTAAGTCTCCTTCTCAATCTTGATACCGAATTTCCTCCAAATTCGTACTAAATTCTTTTTTTCTTCCAATGACATAAACCAAACCAAGTTCTCTGCTTTTCAGAGTTACTTTGTATGAAAGACGTACGAAACCGTTTCGGTTTTTATTCGTTGTGGTTTATGTTGTAATACTTCATTTGTTCATGTTTCCCAGGTGCTTCTGGGAGGTTCCTGCCGACCATGCTTGTTTCTAGACTAGCCGCTGTCAGAACTCAGATGATCAACCATGTAACAAAAGGTTTTTGTTCTGTGAATTTTTTTCATTTTTGGTCTATCTTTATTTTGCTTTTCCAATACTCTCAGCCCCTTATTAAAATTCAACATTAACTTCTTCCATGCTCGTTTCTTAGCTTAATATCTTGTTAATTACATCGACATTGAAACTTTTATTGAACTGTTGTTTATTACCAAATATCCAAACTGCAATTAATATATAATATGTAATGCCCTAAGGTGCTGGGAGTGAAATCGTTGTGGTAAATGCTAAGGTAATGCTGCACAAGGAATGATCTTGTTTGACATGTAGCTCGATATGTGTGACAGGAGACTGATATCTGCTATGTTGGATCGTTGGGATGAATGATGGGTTGTTCAACGTTTCAAGTTTTATACATGATAACATATAGTTTTAGTTTATTGGTGTCTTTTTAATTCAATTAAGGTACAACTGTATAATTAGTTTACTGCTTAAGCGGAGGTTCTCTTATGATTCCAGTAAGGTAGTGAAGGTTCTCTTGTGATTTTAAATTGTAATTTAAGTTGGTATCTTTAAAAACAATTCAGAACTAATTGATATGAATTTTCCAGGTCCATTGAAGTCTTCACCAAAGACAGGAAACTTCGGTGGACTTTACAGTTATATTTTCCATACTCCGGTTAGCTTCCTAATGAATTTTCTTCAATGGACCTTTGTTTCATTTTCAATTTTCGGACTAACCTGTCAAAATCTCGCTCTATTTTTTCAGAAGCATCAAGCTTTCTCTACGACAACCCTGCATGAGGAGGGGGATAAAAAAGTAGAAGAGTAAGTTGCTTTTTCACATAAAAAGAACCGTGTTGAACTTGTAGCAACAACTCTTTACATATTGTTTCAATCATCAGTGAACAATTTGGAGAGAATTCCCGTATTTGGCTTATTTCATTAAAGACAAGCTCTCATCCTATCCTGCAACTAAATATCTGTGTTATTGGAACACTTGCATCTTTTTGTAGATTTCTTTAACCTTCTGTTTAAATCTGCAGAATTTCTGTCACGTTTGTTGACAAGGATGAGATGGAGAAGCATATTAAGGTTCCTGTTGGAATGTCCATGTTAGAAGCTGCTCATGAAAATGACATAGAACTTGAAGGTACTCTGGCATGTCATTTGATGTTTTGTGCATTCCACTTTGGTTCCTCTTGTTTTAGTAGGATCCTAACTTTTATCAAAAACTTTTCTGAGCTCTATGTAGAATATAGACAGAAGGTTTTGGTGTATTTAACACAATACGTTGAAATGAAGGAAAACTTATTTATTGATATCCCCGATAAGCTACAAATATGTACATATACATGAGTCAAAATAAACAAACAAGAGAGAGCCTTCACAAAGGTTGCTTAGGAGAAGTCGCAGCAGTCGGTAGAGCCCCAGAAAGAGAAGGCACCGGAGGGGGATCATTCGGAGCCTCAGTACTGGACAGAACCCTAGAAGTAGGAGGCATCAGAGGTTGATCATTTGGAGCTTCATTACGCGGTACAGCCCCAGAAGACGAAGGCAATAAATGCCTTTGGAACAAACCCACAAATCTCTGATGATCAAGTAAAACCTGACCATCAGATTCCTTCATCTGGTCCAGCTTCCTCTTCATGTTTGTAGCATAGTCATGTGCGAGACGGTGCAACTGTTTATTCTCATGCTTGAGCCCTCTAATCTCCTGTTTGAGACTCATCACTTCAGCCGCCAATGATTCAACTTGGCGGGTTCGAGCAAATAGGCGTTGGGCCATATTAGACACAGAACCTGCACACTGAACACTGAGAGCCAGAGAATCCTTAACAGCTAACTCATCAGATCGTTTGGAAAGTAGTCTGTTATCTTTGGGAGTGAGAAGGTTCCTGGCCACCACCGCAGCGGTCATATCATTCTTCATAACGGAATCCCCAACGGTAAGAGGACCAGTAGGGGAGACGAAGGATGGGCGCCATATGTTGTCTGGAGAAGGCGGGGCTGCCTCTTCAACAAGGTTCAAGTCAAAACGACGGTCGGAGGGGCCAGACATTTTCAAAGGTGTTGAAGAGAGAAGAGGTCGAACAAATCAAGATCTTAGAAGTGTAAGAATGGAGCTTCTACTGGTGGAGATTCAAGTGTGCTTTGGAACTTAATGCCAGCCCCTATAAAAATCTGCACTCGACGGAGCTTCAGAAATCGAAGAGGCGCCTGCTCAGAAATCGAAGAGGCGTTTGCTTTCTCAAAAGCTGGGCTGCTCAGAGACCACGAGGGTCGATCTCAGAAATCGAAGAGGCGTCTGCTTTCTCAAAAGTTGGGCTGCTCAAAGACCACGAAGGCCGATCTCAGAAATCGAAGAGGCGCTTGCTTTCTCAAAAGTTGGGCTGCTCAGAGACAACGAGGGCCGATCTCAGAAATCGAAGAGGCACCTACTTTTCCAGCCTTGGCAGCACCTGTCACACGCACACTCAGCTTTGCGGAAATTATGGGCATTCTGTCGAAGACTTCTGGTGAAGTAGAAAGCACATGAGTCTTACTGTTCAATCACCCACTTCCCACACGCAATAGTAGCTCATGTGTATCACAGATAACTTTGCCAAAGTTCTCTGCCAAAGTTGAGCACGTGAAGCTTGCAGCTTCCACTACATCGCTCTGACCAAGACGGGTAAAAAGAATAGCAAAGAAACAGCACTAACAAAGTTTAGACACATAAATTTTGAAGGTCTAGCTACCCCATATTATTACCCACAAGGGTAAAGGAACAGTATCACTGCTGGATAATTGGAAAGTCCCTGTGTGTCAACCTCTGTGCTTCGTGGCAAGGTAGACTAGCAAACATGCCCAACCTTTACTCACATTCGAGAAAACACTCCCAACAAGATTGCTTGCTCCAAAATCGAAGAGGCACCGTCCTCCGAATCTCGAGAGCCAGACTCCCAACATGACTACTTTCTCAAAAATCGAAGAGAGGGTAAAGGAACAGTACCATTGCTGGATAATTGGAAAGTCCCTGTGTGTCAACCTCTGTGCTTCGTGGCAAGGTAGACTAGCAAACATGCCCAACCTTTACTCACATTCGAGAAAACACTCCCAACAAGATTGCTTGCTCCAAAATCGAAGAGGCACCGCCCTCCGAATCTCGAGAGCCAGACTCCCAACATGATTACCTTCTCAAAAATCGAAGAGACACCGCTCTCCGAATCTCGAGAGCCAGACCCCCAGCAGGATTGCTTTCTCAAAAATCGAAGAGACATCGTTCTCCGAATCTCGAGAGCCAGATCCCTGATAGGATTGCTTGTTCGAAAACCGAAGAGGCAACACTTTCCCAACTACAAGAGCCGGATCTCCTTGGATAAAGCTGTCTGTAATCTTCACACGCAACATCAGCTTTCCACATACCACAGACCACTTTTTCAAAGTGCTCTGACAGGGTAAAGGAATAGCATTACTACTTGTTGTTAAGGAGACTCCTATATATGTCAACCTCCATCCCCAACGGACAGACAGACCTGCAAAAATGCTCAACCCTTCCTCATATATGAGAGGGCACTCTCAACGAAGCCTTTCGAAATATTCAGCTTTCTTTCCCCCCGATAATACCTCTGCAAACAAGTTATACTAGAGCAAGAATATCTCATATCATCAGGGTTAAAAGCAAGAGTATCCCATATCATGCTTTTTCCCTGTCTTTTCCTTTGGACTTGTTCTTACCTGCAAGACAAGGAGAAAGAGAGCAATCAGTCAGCACTTGGAATCAAGCTTCCAGCCAGGAACTGACTGCCTGGAACTTACTTACCTGGCATTGCTCTCGAGTACTCATCTTCAACATCTTATGCTTCCAGGGAAGATACCGCATCTGCCTGAGGAACAGATAGGGCAAGTGAGAAGGATACAAGGAAGCATGTGGAGACAAGCGTAACAGCACACGTGCCGATACATCCATTACTCTGTCAAAGCAAAAGTATCCCATATCAGTAGGGTCGAACGTACTCTAGATTTGATGGACTTGTTTTGACCCTCAAATTCTTCAGTCGGCCTTATACTCTGGAGGAAACCAGAAAACCCTCCAGCTCAGTTCAAGAATAAGCCTGTGGAAAGTTACTTCTTCAAAAGCAAAAGTATCCCATATCATCTCTTCTCATTTTTCTTCTCTTTATCCTTCATGCTGCCTGCAAGATAGGGAGAATGTGTGAACAATCAGCCGGAGCTCTGATTGCTTACCTTGTCTGTCACCTCTTTCAGCAAATCCCCTAGCTCGGCAACTTGAGGGACTCCTACTACATGGTTTGTATCGCGCTTGACCAAGCCTGAAACTACAAGTAAGCTTCAAGTGAAATTGATACATTACCTTGTGCATCTCCACCAGTTAAAGATACCACCCCTGGATGGAGGAAGAGTACTTCCAGAGAAGATGCCACATCTACCTGTGAGACAGATAAGGCAAGTCAAGACGATACCACATTCCGATACTTAGAAGTTTCGTGATTACGAGATCATTCTCCCACATATTTCCTAATGTCATTTGTACTAAATCATTCACCTGTACTCACTAAAGGAAAGCTTGAACCTATGTACTTGTGTAAACCCTTCACAATTAATGAGAACTCCTCTATTCCGTGGACGTAGCCAATCTGGGTGAACCACGTACATCTTGTGTTTGCTTTCCTATCTATATCCATTTATATACTTATCCACACTAATGATCGGAGCAATCTAGCGAAGATCACAAAAAGCGACCGTTTTCGCTACCTAGGATATATCGTGCAAGAGAACGGAGAATTAGAGAGATCTCAACCATAGAATAGAAGTTGGATAGATGAAGTGTAAGAGTGCATCCGGCGGGTTGTGTAACCGTCGTAGGCCACTGAAGCTCAAGGGAAAATTTTATAGGACGGCAATAAGGCCAGCGATGTTGTATGGCACAGAATGTTGGGCGGTGAAGCATCAACACGTACACAAAATGGGTGTGGCGGAGACGAGGATGCTTCGTGGGATGTGTGGGCACACAAGAAATGATAAGATTGGAAATGAGGATATTCGAGGTAAAGTAGGAGTGGCCGAAATTGAAGGAAAGATGAGAGAAAATCGGTTCCGGTGATTTGGACATGTGCAAAGAAGGCCTACTGACGCTCCGGTTCGAAGATGTGACTACGGGACAGAGGTTCAGGGCCAAAGGGGTAGAGGAAGACCTAGGAAAACTTTGGAAGAGACTCTAAGAAAAGACTTAGAGTACTTGGTTCTAACGGAGGACATGACACAAAACCGAGCGCAATGGCGTTCTAGGATTCATATAGCCGACCCCACTTAGTGGGAAAAGGCTTTGTTGTTGTTGTTGTTGTTGGTGTTGATGAGTGAGCTTGCCCTTCAAGATTGTTTTATTATGAGACTATTAAAGTGCTTGTTAGAATTGAATTGATAAGATGAACTTGGAAATTGAACTTATGTGATTAAAACCAAGGCTTGGCTGGATTGAATCGAGTTGATCAACTACGTCAGTGTGGCTATCTCTATTGTCTATCTCTAACAAGTTGGTTTTAATGTGATCTTAGGAGCATGTGAAGGATCGTGTGCTTGTTCGACATGTCATGTGATTGTGAGAGTATGTACTTTGAAACTTGAAGTTTGCAGACAAAGAGTCATAATAAAAAGGCAATATTCATTGGATACAAGGAGACATGCAAAATGAACTGATTTCTGTTTCATTAGTATCCGGTGAAAGTTGCCTTAAAAACTTCCATTCCTCGCACTAAAATTTTCATCTGAGCTAACTTCTGGAACTCTTGGTTAGGATATGGAATACTACAATAAACTCGAAGATCCAACTGATGAGGAAAATGACATGCTGGATCTTGCTTTCGGGCTCACAGAGACGTAAGCCCCCTATATCTTGGAATTTAACTGCAGGGAATATTATGTCAAAGTAGTAGCTGAAATATGAATTCTGAATTCTATATAAGTTGATATTCATTTGCAGGTCTCGTCTGGGTTGTCAAATGGTTGCAAAACGAGAACTTGACGGAATATGCCTTGAACTGCCGAGTGCAACGCGCAACTTTGCTGTTGATAGGCATGCCAAGGCCACATAGAATAGAATTCTTTTGATAGGAAGGAGACAGGTAGGACAATTCTTGCTGAGGAAGCAAATGGAGCTATGCCATTCTTGTAGCACGTCCTATATTGCTAGTTTTACGCTTCAAAAATTAATTAAAGAAGCAACTTGATGAAATTTGGTTGTGCTAGGAATTTGGTTGAATACTTTATGGGTATTGATTTTCACATTTCCGTTTTATTTTATTTTTTTTGCACTATTTACCTTGTTTTTGTTCTTGAATTCTATTTGAGTTATTCAATCCTAAACGAAAAGCATGAGAAAAATGTTAGTACGAAAATCGCTTCACCCCCGTCAAGAAGACTGGGTTACATTGAAGTCCTCAGACAAAAGAGGATATAGTCATCAAGCTCTTCTTCTAGGTTGAAACTTAAGCTTACCCTCAATAAATTTGTCTTTCTTTCTTACACACCATGTAAAGTCACATTCTATATCTCGTCATGTGTGAGAAAATACCTGCATTCCGGCCTCACCAACCCCCACATTTAGGAGAAATTTTGAGGTCCGACAACCAGACCACGTGATCGTCTGAACCCAGACACAAAACACTTCCCTTACACCATACCCAATCCAGGTGTCTTTCCAAAGACCCTCTCCACGTTTACTTCCACCTAGTGTGTTTTGCCGGACAATCCACGCGGTTTACGGGACCAAAGAAATTATCCCATCGTAGGTAAGCCATTTTGCTTCTGGAATAAAAAACTAGGAGTTTCTAACTCAATAGCAAATCATGCTAATTGTGAGCTACCTTATTACTTTAGACTTTCGAGTTTTAAAGCCAACATCGATGGTCAATCTGCTCAGGCAAACATAACTAAAGTCCATGCTATCATATTAAAGTTAGATTAAAATCACTTAAAAGCAAAAGATAATTTGCAGCTCAAGTAATTAAAAGCATACATTCATGCACACGAAATTTTTAGCTTTGATTTTTTAGAGGGTTTTATTGAAAAGCCTTTCAGATTAAAAAAAAGTTAATAAAAATACCTAATAAACAAGTTAGAGCTCTTAGCTTCGATTCTCGCCGAATTTGAACCACATAATTACTAGTTCATTGTAAGACTTAGCGCAATCTCTCACCTCCTTAAAGCAGCTCCAGCGGGGCTTGTAGCTTGATGGACTGCCTATCAAACAGGGCCAAATAGCCCGAGCAAGAAGGTACAGTGTTTGCTGGTGATTGAGCCTTAGCGGGCCCAAGGGAGAGACCTGGCATGAGTAGGCGACCCGAGAGCCCGAAGGCCACGTGATCCAAGGCTGACGTCAGCCACATTTTATATCTTTTTTGTGTCAGGTGCGTGCACTTCAAGCGTGCGTCGGCAGACAAGGTTTCAGACGTGGGGCCTGCAACGTATTTCAGAAATCTTACCGTTGGGGAGGCCACGTGGCTTCCCCACGTCCGTTGGATTTCGATGGCAACAATTTATGGACCGTTGGATTTCCAACGGTAAAAAAAAATTAAAAACCTTATTTAATTTCAGCTGTTGGATCTGAGATCAACGGTCCACGTTATTCGCCTTTATAAATTAAAAAAAAAGTTTAAAATTTTGAAATATTACCGTTGTGCCACGTGGCACAATCTGGAGTGTTGGAATTCAAAATTTTTTTTAAAATCCAACGGCATAGATTAATTATGTGAATAAAAATTAAAAAAAATGTAAAAAATTAATAAAAATCTGAAGAAAAAAAAAAGATTTTACTTTTCTATAAATATCTTCTCATTATCTTCTACCTTACACCACAATTTCATATTTTCTCAACTACTTTTAACCACATTCCTATATTTCTCTCAAAGTTTCAATCCAATTTTTTTCCAACAAAATGACTAATGATGCAGGTACGAATTGGACGCTTATTGAAGATGTTGCGTTGTGTACTAACTAGGTTGAAGTTACTCATGATCCGATTACGGATAATGAGATGCAGTTGCGAGAAATGTTGAGTCTTATTCATACCAATTATCTTGAGAAAATTGGTGGGAAAAGAACCAAAGAATCGATGTCTAGTCGTTGGAAAATACTTAGCCAATCGTTTAGTATGTGGAGAGACGCATTGGCACAAGCTAGTAGTAATCTTCGAAGTGGGAAAAATATAGCGGATTAGGTAACAATATATTATTTATTTGTTTGTACTATACCCAAATTTACATTAGCTACTTTGATTATAATTATTTCATCTCCCGCATTCTGTAGACACTTCAAGCACAATCTTGGTATAATGCCAAATCAAAAAACCAAAAGCAATCATTCACCCAGTGGGAATATTGGAATATTGTCAAAGATTGTCCTAAATTTAGAGTTGTGCATGTCGATCCAGAAGTTGTCATGAACAACATCCCTCTACACTCTACGCTCGATCATTCCTCCCATGTTCATGAAGATGACCCATAACAAGTGCCTGAAACTCCCCCCTGAGGATGGATGATGAATTATATGAAGGATTCAGAAATGATTATGTTGTAGATAATGTCACGTGGCATGCTGTCATTCGTTAAAAATTTGATTGAAATCTATCCTCAAAGATTGTAAACAGATTGTGACACGTGGCGCGACGTGATTGGTTAAAAATCTTATCGGAAATCTATCCTCAAATTTCTAAAAAAGGTAATGACACGTGGTACGATGACATTGGATAAAAATCTTATAGAAATCCATCACGAATAATTGTCTTTTCGGATAATGACACGTGGCGTAATGAGAACGATTAAAAATTTTATCCGAAATTACAAATAAAATTTTTTTTTATTATTTTATAAATAAAAAACTACTAATATTTTATTGCCTATTGCCAGAGCTATTCAGTGTAGGGGTGGAGATGCAAAAGGTTGTTATTGTTCATTAAGGGCTGTTACTGTTCACTGGATGGATTAAATAGTGAATAGCCATAGGGGCCCTTAGCAACGGTGAAATTGCTCTTAGTGTAGATATTATCGTTTATTAAAAAAAAATAATAATAATAATAATAAACAATTTATTAATAATAAGGACCAAATTTACACCCTACAGGCCACATCACATAAGCCCAACATGCTGAAAACAAGCCTAGCGCGCTAAACAGAAAAACCTCAATTCTAGCCTGCACCTGACGAATGATTTAAAGCTAAATTTTTAATGAGTAAATTACATTTTACCCCTTCATGTTTCAGTGCAATTACAACCTCATATAACATCTTTAAAACATTTCAATTTCATACATTTACTATTATTTTATTTCAATTTCTTACATTTGTTACAAAGTTTGTTAAATTAACCGTTAAGTGATGACATGTTAAATATAGAGTCCTCATTTGTGCTGATGTGACTGCCAAGTTTATGCTATGTGGCTAAAGACTTAATAAAAAATTTAGAATGTTAAAATAATTAATTAAAGAAAATTATAAAAAAAATAAAAATAAAAAATAAAAAAATCCAAAAATCGCCTTCGTCTTCCCCACGCGAGCCCACCTCTTTCTCTTATCCCTCATCACCCACCCCTTCCCCCATTAATACTACACCTCCATCTAACCCAAAATTCCAAATTCCCTTTTGTCTTCCCCACCCGAGCCCCCCCCTTCTCCCATCTCCCATCACCACCCCTTCCCCCATTAATTTTGCACCTCCATCTCTCTCAAAATTTCAATTTCCTAATGCTAGGGTTCTCCTGGACTCCCTTGTCAACAAGAACCAGGACCCCGAAGTGCACAAAACTCTCGGTTGCCTTCAAAATTTGATATAGGTGGAGCGCAGAAATCTCGCACCGACATCGTGGTAGAACCTCGATGTCGTCGTTGCTTGATTTGGACCCGCCAGCCCGACCCGCAACTCGAAGAACTCAAATCTAAACTTAGTTCCACCTATATCCGAACCATGCGCGAATTGAAGAAAGTCTTCATTGTGTGAGTAATTTTTTGCAAATTTTGGGTTTAAGAATTAATGGGAGAAGGGGTGGGTGATGGGGGATGGGAGAAGGGGGTGGGCTCGGGTGGGGAAGACGAAGGGGATTTTTGTTTGTTTGTTTATTTATTTATTATTATTATTTTTTACTTTTCTTTAATTATTAATTTTAATTTTTTTATTAAGTGTTTAGCCACGTGACACTAATTTGGTAGCCATGTTAGCACAAATGAAGATTCCATATTCGTTATATCATCACTTAACGGTTAATTTAACAGACTTTGTAACAATTGTATGAAATTGAAATACAATAATAGTAAATGTATGAAATTGAAATGTTTTAAAGATGTTGTATGAGGTTGTAATTGCACCGAAACCTGAGGGGGTAAAATGTAATTTACCCTTTTTTAATTCTCCAACAAATATATGTAAAAAGTAAAAATAGAGGTGCAAATGCTACTCAGTACTACGGTCTGGTGATATTCCTTTTCACTTGAAAGTAAAAGGTTTTAACTTCGAATCTCATGGATGACGAATTCGATACTAAATTAAGTTGCCCATTGTATAACTTAACTGAATTCCCCCTCCCCTTAGTGTGAAAATATCGATGTATTAAAAAAAATAGAGAACCCTAGTGCCACTTAGTACTAAATTTTATTAGTATTCATTTTATTTAAATCCAAGAATATGTAACTAGAAGCAACTAATAAAGAACCCTAGTGCCACTTAGTACTACAATATAGTGATATTAGTATTCATTTTTACTTATAAGTAAGAGGTTTTAGGTTCGATTATGGCCAAAAGCGAATTTGAACCACATTATTTCTAGCCTATTATGAGGCTAAATCCATTTCCTCCCTTTTAGTGTAGATAATATCGTTTGTTAAAAAATAAAAATAAAAAAAAAAAAAAAAACTGGAATCTAAAATTTCTTGGGTGGGTATGAAGCCTATTTTTCCTTAAGCTGATTTTTTTTTTACCATATTTTTTATTTTTCTTGAGCCAGACATCTACAACAACATTAAATTAGTTGGAACCAACTAATTATAAAATTTTCTATGACCGGGGTTTTTTATTTTTTTTATTTTTATTATTAAGGGGAGTAAGGGTTTGAAACTTTATAATAAGGATAATGTTAGGGAAATCAAAATTTTAAATCAAATGATATGATTATTGATGATTGAATTGATTAAGGTGTTTATTTGTTTCAAGTAACATATCATTTAGTTTGTAAATTTGGGTTAATATTTTGGTCTCTCTAGCATTACCTTACAATAATTTAGGGGATAGTGAAGTTTTAAAACATGAGAATCATAAGTGAAAACTCAACACCTTATATATTAGGATATTAAACTACATGCAAAATTGAAAACCGATAAACTTATCAAACAAACCACAAAATCAACTATCATTATCACCTTATGTGAACCGCGTTTATGTGTTATTCAAAAACCCATCAACAAGGTCAAAAGTGATGAGTTTGAAATATAAAATATTAAATTAATGATAAAAACTCATAACTATATGCCATAGTAGCTTCCGGTAATTGTAAAGCTGTGAGAGTGGGAGATTAGATAACCGGCATATCCACATCACACGTAGCCAATCAGAGCCGGCTTTGACCGTGCAGCCCCGTGACAGCCTGACAACGTCCAAGCTCCCAACGACCCTTACCTATGTCCTACGTGAGCCCGTTCCCTTATTGTGGCGTCACCAGCGATCACTGGCAAGTGTTGGTTTACCGTCCGATTAAGCGGTGACTGACTAAATGAACTTCCTTGATGTATGAAGAATGCAATTCCAATTCCCAACCCTACCGGAATGCCGAGCCTTTTGCTGTGCTCGCTTGACAATTTAACTACTCAACTAAAATTACTTTATTACCCTCAACATAGTGATACATTTATGTCCTATTTCTTTTTCTTGTCATCTAACCTTTTGGTTGTAATTTGTGTGGATTGTTTGGACAAATGATACCTTTGATTCCTTCGTATCAACTCTTGATGCTAATGAAATTTGAACTTTTTTCAATAACGTGAAAACGAGTTAATGGTAAGAGAAAACATGCCATATGACTTATATTCTTGGTTGCATGACGAGAGTAGAGAAATTTGAGTATGATATTGTTTGGGCCCAAAATAATATTTTGGGCTGAGCTTAGAGTCATTCTCGGCCCAGTAGAATTCATCTGGAATCTTGTTATGGGCTGTCTAGTCAAGGTCGGTTGAATCCTGTTGCGAGAATGATTGGTTTAGATAAAGGTGAGATAGTCGAACCCTAGTGCAACAAGGAGTCTTAAAATTGAAGATGCTTAGAATTAGGGGATGAATCTGGTTCGTTATGAAGTTCAGTTCAAAGTCCCATTGGAGCTAGGATTGGCTGAAACATAATCAGATTGGGTTGAGGAATTCTAATCCAAGTACATTTATAGTTCGGTCATGAAGGGGGTTCACTACTATAAATAGAGAAGGGAGTGCATCATTCAATGCCTCTCTAAATCAACACACAAATTGCCCTGCGCAAAGCCTCTCAACAATCTTGAGATTTTATCCTCTTACCCTTTCTTCTCGCTAACACATCTTCAGTTTGGATAAATAGCATTGTGAAGTCAACCAGTGACTTCTTCAGTTTGGATAGACATCACTAGAGCCGCAGAATCAACCAATCAAAGAACACCTTCAGTTTGGATAGACAACACTGCTTCGAGGCCGACTGGTTATTACCCAAGTCTCGATCGACAAGGATTTTCGAGTCCTTGTTGGTAGAGGTTATCTCATCAACTTTCTCGGCGAATTGAGGTGTTACTAGGTTACTAGGCTCGGCACATTGAAAGTCGAGTTTTGTTTTATGATTGGATATTCACAAATACATTTTAGAGTTCGGCACTCCGACAGCCGAACCACATTAACGATCAAGACATTTATCTCTTTCGAGTATTTGTGTCTATATAGTTTGGTACATGTTCGACGTACTTATACTCTCACAAATATAATTACCGAGATCGAACCCAGCACCAACGATTTGTGAACTTCGTAAAACTAACAGCCTTATCTTCAGGCTCTAGAACCCGAAGGCCAAAACATGTTCGTTCTTTGGCCACAGTCGCAAGATCGAGAAGTTAGCAACGCGCCCACATCAACACATTTTACTCCCTGGCTGAGCTTGGCCGACGAGTTGGCACGCCCCGCACATAATCGAAGGACATAGTTAGCTTATTAGTTACTTGACCTGCGCGTCACGTAGGCTTAATAGTTTTTAAGGTCAACATATACTCTAACCAGGTGAATAGTCAGACAGTCTTACAGAGAAATTTGAGTATGATACTCTAATCAGGTCATTAGTTGTTCTTTACACTAGTAACGTAAAAAATCCCATGTATATTTATTTGTGTAATGTATTTCTCCTTCTACTTCTTCTATTTTCTTCTATCATAGTTGTCTTCTTTTTCTCTCTTATGCACCATGTGTTGGATGAAATACCTTAGTTGACAAGTATTAGTAGTTTTCAACATTATTCTACTATATCCTGCATCCAACCTCGACAAGCCTCGACATATAATAGTAGTTATCGACACATGTTGGCATAAACTTTTGGCATGTGCTAACTAGGTGTTTGACGAAATCGCCTAATAAAACTTTTTTAGTTGATATTATGACCGCATCGTTTGAAAATCCCGGTTCTATGTTTCACAGTGTTTGAGTATTTCGAGTTTACGTATATATAGCTCTCAATGCATGGGTACGACTCGTTATAATTGTATAGCCTGACGACATTAATAAAATATAATCGTATTATAAATCAAATAGATTAATGACTTGAGGATGACGATTGGAGAATTCGGAGACGATCCTCTGCCAGAAAAGCAAACAAATATTGATCTTTGTGTATGTTCAAGTTCATGTACTAATAACCCTAACTTTGATCAAAAGAATATTTTTCCTATTAGGAATTCCGGAACACCGGAATTCAGATCAGGGAATCCGAGCCAGATAGAGGTCAGGTAGGTAGGAAATGACCGCTGCGGTAACTGCAGTGTATGGACAAATGGTACCAAGTTCCATACGCTCCTACCAAGCCGGCTCTCCCGTGACGCCGGTGACGGGGACTCTACCTCTCACCCAATCAAATCCGGACATCTCCACTGCCCCGTCCCCAACCCTCGCCACGTGTCCCCACCTTCTGTACCCCTCGACGGACGCCGTCAAACACCCAAACGCCTCTCCCCCATTCAGTTTTTTCCGTCAACCGAGTAAACGCAACCCAACAAAAAAACACCAAATTAACGTTTTCCGTAAACGCGAAAAGCCGGTCAACCCAAAACAGCTTCTCTCTCTCCTCTCTTCCGTCTCTCGCACTAAATGCATTCCCAACCCCAAAAACCTAAAATTCACATCGCCGATATCTCATATCGTACGACCTCCGGCGCACGGTAGCGCCCACCATAATCCTTACTCCCAATCCCTCTGAACCAGTCCCAGCTCCCAGATCGGTGACATTCGACGCACCTCTACGCAGTTTGCCACCGAGTCTTGGATCTAGATCGGACCGATCCAGATCGGCGTGGGATAGCAGTTGCATCGATGGAAGAGGACGACGAGATCCTGTCACCGGCGTCTGGAGGAAGCCGATCTCCGACGTCGCAGAGGCAGAACGGTCGGATTACGGTGACGGTGGCGGTGCCGCCGGCGCAGATTCCAGCACCGACGCCGTCTCAGAACAAAACGCTGACCCTAGCTCTCCCGTCGTCGGGTAAGCAGCAAGGGCGGAGTAGCGGCGGAGGAAGGGAAGATTGCTGGAGCGAGGGGGCGACGGCGGTGCTGATCGAGGCGTGGGGGGAGAGGTACTTGGAGCTGAGCAGGGGGAATTTGAAGCAGAAGCACTGGAAGGAGGTGGCAGACGTCGTGAGTAGCAGGGAGGAGTACGGTAAGATTCCCAAGACTGACATACAGTGTAAGAATAGGATTGATACTGTGAAGAAGAAATATAAGCTCGAAAAATCGAAGATTGGGGCTGGAGGAGGACCCAGCAAGTGGCCCTTTTTTGAGAGGCTCGATCATTTGGTTGGTCCCTCTGGTGCTAAGGTGGGTCCTGGGTCTGGTGGTGGTGGTAGTGGTAGTGGTGAGTTTTCGGGCCATAGCCAGAAAATTCCGGTCGGGGTTCGACATAGCCAGTTTCTGGGGCATAGGGCGAAACGGGAGGGAAAGATTAGACAAAAGGATTTGGTGGAATGGGACTCAGATGAGTCGCGGGAGCTGTCGCCTTTTTCGATTGATAATGAGGTTTTCGAGCGGAAGAGGAGGAGGACTGCCAATGTCAATGCCAATGTGGGGAAGGGGGTAGGGGGTGGATTAAAGCCTTGTGCGGTGGGTAGAGAGAAAGAAGGAGGAGGCGGAGGGTGGGGGAGCTCGGTGAGGGAATTGACTCGGGCGATATTGAAGTTTGGGGAGGCTTATGAGCACGCAGAAACAGCGAAGCTGCAGCAGGTGGTGGAGATGGAAAAGCAGAGGATGAAGTTTGCCAAGGAGTTGGAGTTGCAGAGGCTGCAGTTTTTCATGAAGACACAGGTGGAGATTTCTCAGCTGAAGAGCGGAAGTGGAAGAAAAAGCGGGGTTAATGGGGGTCGGGAATGCTAGTTACCATCGTAGCAGCAACAACAACAACAACAGTGATTGTAGCAGCTAGGAAAGGTAAAAAAACCAACCCATGTTGGCAAATTTGTATTAAAAAATGGTAGATTTGAGTGTATGATCTGTTTCTTGTGGGGTTTGTGACATATTAGTTGAGTCAGTTTGTGAAATCATGGTGTTAGGAGAGAGTAGCGGTTATTGGTAAATGGTTGATTAGGATTTAGAGTTGGATTATTACCGGAAGTATTGTCGGATTAATGAAGTAAGCATCAACCTTAGCGAAGAGAGTAACGAAAAATTTAGTGTTGTTGCTTGCTGCTTATCAAGTGTATGATCTTCATGTATTTTTATGGTCACTTGTAATGAAATGTCGTTACTGTGAGAATCTCGAATTTTCATTGCTGGTTGTAGATTGCTTATGAGATGAATGGTGGCTCGTCTAGGACTGCTTTTGTGCGTCTGTAAGAAACACTTATCCTCGTAAACACTTTTTGTAGAAACACTTTTATTAGAAAAACATTGAAACTTTTGTTTAAAACCCAAGTGCTTTTTGTAAAGAGTTGGAAGTGCTTTCGCAAGGAGCACCTAAGATTCTTTAAAAAGCGTTATGGGAACCAAAAACACTTTTAAAGTGTAGGCAGAAACGTTTTGATGGGGAAAAAAAGAAGCTTTTTTTAGCATATGTGATCAATTGGAAATGCGGTAGAATTTTAAGTCAGGTATGCTCTCGGTATTGGGTTTGAAGGATGATGCTGGTAAAAACACGAATGATTCCCTGGTTTGGAAAGGACGTGTACTATTTGACTGTCGTCGCTCAGGTGCATTGAATTCCTTTTGTCTTTTCGAGCTCTTTAGAGATTAATCCTACCATTCAGGGTATGGGATGCCTCGGACTTCAGCCAAAAAAGAAAAACTACTTTGTAAATCTCTAGTGTGGTGAGAACTGATAATGCAAGTATGAGATTGAATGTTTGTATGAGATGTTTACCGTTTACTTGATGTGCTCCATAGCCGAAGTGATTAAGCCCATATAAATATATATATATATATATAATATATATATTTTTTTTTTTTGGAGAACAAGGAATACATTCCACGGGCACAGAGGCCAAAGAAAACAGAAACTAAGGCAAACAGCAAAGCTTGAAACGCAAGGAAGGCAGAGCAAGGAAGATCAGAGAAAACGAGACGCTACAACCAAGTTGAAGCGTCACCCCCAAGCACTGCCCCCACGCCTAATGAGGACAAGAAAGCCCATATTATGTTGGGTGTACTATATGGATCGAGTCAATAAGTTGGGCCACAAATTGTTCATAGAGAGGGGTTTTTTCTACACCCAATTTTTATTTTTTGGACACCTCTACTAAAGTTACATGATTTTTAGGACACCCATATAAATTTATAATATTTTTAAGTTGTCCATACTTAAAAATAGAGAACAAAATTGGCACAACCATCTCAACTGTGAAATTCAACTCAAACCGGCCTCCTAAACCCTTTCTTCTTCTTCTTCTTCGTCCTCTGCAACTCCCACCACCCTCATCAGTACTATTAAAATTGATTATGGAGACCCATTGCAAAAAGAAATTAGAGAAACAATGGCTTTTCTTCTTTTTTTGTAAGCTAAAGCCCCATTCCAGGTGGGTGGAGCGCCGTCAAAATTAGTTTGGTGAGGAGTTAATAAAAAATGAGAAGATATCGGATAAAGGGTATAGGTGGTCGTGCACCCACGAGAGAGAGTTAGGAAGGAAGGGAGGGAGAGAGAGGGTGAGGGGTGGTGGCTGTGACCCTAAAATGATTTGGCTCCAAACCCAACCCATTCATTTTTATTGCGTAAATTACATTTTATCCCTTAGGTTTTGATGCAATTGCAACCTTGTATAATATCTTTAAAACATTTTAATCTCATACAAAAACTTGTATTTGAGTTGTAATTTCATACATTCGAAGTCAAACCGTCAATTTGATCGTTAGGCGATAGTGCGGCAACTGCCGGTCTCTTTTGTCGAACTTTTTGAAGGCTAAGTTTAAGTCTATTTAGGGCGTGTTTGTTTGCCCTCGTTAAAGTTCACTGGATTGGACTACTTTGGTAGGACTACTAATCCCGTGTTTGGTGCAAGCTGGACTAAACTTAATGGGATTAAGTTGGACTCGTTCCAACTAAGAGCTTCGCTAAGTCATCCTAGTGAGACCCCCCAAAAACCATGGGATTGCTAATCCCGTCTCCAACATCATTTGCACACCTTTGTCATCTGCAACTCCTACTCCCTTACCCCTGTCCAGATCTAAAACCCAACACCACCCACTACCTAAATCTCAAAATCCAAATCTAAAATTCCCCCAAAAGCACATGCAGACGAATCTCCAGAACAAATTCAAAACAAAAACCTCAAAATCCAACATCTACAATTCCCCCAAAAGCACATGCAGACGAATGTCCTTAACAAATTCAAAACAAAAAACGCAAAATCACCAGAAAATTCCGAGATTTTTCGAGAAAATTAGAGGAGGCGTTGGGTGGTGAGCTCTGGTGAATCCTCTGCATAAGGAAAAAAGGGAGAGGTTAGGGAGAGAGTGGACGGTGGAAAAGAGGAGATGGGAGGGAGATGGGCGGAGGAAAATATAGAGATGTATACGGAGAGTGGAAGAGAATTCTAGAAAGTGGTGAACCAGATAAAAAAGAGGGAGAGGGGAGGGAGAGTAACGGAGGAAAGAGGAATGGGTTAGAGTGATATGCTTGGAAAAAACAATACTGGCCATTAGATAGGTGTTTCTAGAAACAAGTAAAATGATAGATTAATAATACAATATTAATAAATAGAGATTAAATAATTTAGTATCTAAATTTAATAGTTATCCTGTTTTTTAGTCCGACACTGCACCAAACCAGGGCCGTCTTTAAGATTTCGAGGACCCTGTGCGAAATTTATAAAAGGGCCACTTTTTAAGATATATATATATATATATATATATATATATATTTTTTTTTTTTTAAAGTATGACAATATATTGGTACCAGAAAAAAATAACTTAAATTAAAACAACCTATAGGACTCACCGATTGTAAGTTTACAAGTGTCATTAAATAAGTAAAAAGAGTTACAAACATAATCTTCACTAAATAATAAAAAAAAAACAATTCAATCTTAAGCAATCAAATAATGAAAAATAAAGCTTCAAAAACTATAACTTTAGAGTTTCATTTGAAAATATAATATTATTATATAATTAATAAAATTGAAAAGAAAATCTTTTTTAAGGTGTTGTTATTAGCACTCCTAATATCTCATTGTGCACTCCAAATTTTTATATTTAGAAAGAAAAAAAAAATTTACACTTATAAAAGTGCACTATAAGATTTTAAAATGCTAATAAAAGTATTTTTTTAATATATAACATTATTACATAAAAATATAAGATACCAAAAAAATTTGGGGGCCCTATGAGATTGCACCTTTCGCTCTCCCTCAGCGCCGCCTCTGCACCAAACGCTTCACTAAGTTAGTCCAACGTAGTCTAGTCTAAGCCAGTCCAGCTTAGTATCTGAAGCTAGTCCAGTACGAGATAGTCTGGTGCAACAAACGCACCCTTAAGCCTTTTGGCTGCTATTGTAATACACATTCAAGAATTAGTTAAATTAAGTTTTCGGTTTTCTTCCAAACTCTAGTGGATTCTTAAACATTATTCTTCTGTGGTTTATGTTTATATCCCTTGTTAGCTTGTGTTGCGTGAATAAAACTAATGGATAAACAAAAGAGTGATAACAATGGCACAAATTTCTTTCATGAAAAGTAACTGTGCAATGCAGAGAACTTGGTTTACGGGATCTTTTTCTTAATGAGATTTACGAAGCAACTAGCAAGAAATGTCCAGCGCAATACTGCAGTGTTGAAAAATGTACGAAGATTTTGTATACAGTACTATTTACATTCAAAGGATAATCTTAACGTGTATACATACTAGTTACATTCAAAAGATCTGAAGATAGTCCTATTAAAAATTATATGAAATCTACAAACAATCAGATTGAGATACATAGCCTATAGCCCTAATATATGCTTACCCCTCTTGACTTTGAACTCCCTTGCATATTTTACACAAATTACATATTAAAATTTTATAAAAAAATGTTACAAAATTTAATCACAAATTTCATATGGGTAATTATCAAATCAAAAAAAAAAAAAAAAAGATTAAAAGGGTCAAAGAAAAGAATTAGTATTTAACTCTTCTGCCATTTAGTATAACGGTCTATTAGTATTCTTCTTCACTTGTAAGTGAGAGATCTTAAGTTTGATTCTCACCAAAGACGATTTTGAACCAAATTATTACTAGCCTATTGTGAGGCTTAGCCCATAATATTGTTTGTTCAAAAAAAAAAAAATCTTCTATTCAAGTTAAACATAGTTCTGTACATAAGCATATTTGATGATTTGAAAGTTAAAGTAAAGGCCTCCGGTCTTCTAAGACATATTAAACTCTCCCTTAGTACCCAAAAAAAAAAACATAAAAAAAGGCATAAAGGGTTCTTTATGCATTGATCATAAAGAATTCATTAAAAACGATGAGATAAAAATTTGACACTACATGGTAAATATGTCTCAAAGCCCAATTTTGGCCAAATGTTTATATGTCACCACAATTTAATTTGTACCATATATTGGGATCTTATGTGACAACCTGTCCTTAATTTTAAAATTTTATAAATTTTAAGAGAGTGAATTGACCAAAATGCTACTTAAGGCGAATTGTTGACTGTTATTGATCATCATTTCATGATGTGTACAAGCCACTATTTTACAGTATTCTCGAAGTACTTGACGGTACGAACGTGTAGGCATAAGCGAAAACGAATTTGGAGTTACGATGAAGATTTTACGAAACTACGAAATGTGGAGAGTGATTTAGTAATTTTATATTTAGAGATATTTTGTGTGCCACATGGGGCCCACAACCCATTATCTCCCCTCACTCCCGTGTTCCCTTCTTTCTAAAACACTCTATATCTCTTTTATTTTATTTTTAATTCTCTAACCTCTCATGGGCTGCCACATCACTTCTCTCCCTCTAACTTTCTTTGCCATCTCTCATTCTCAGGCATTTTCTTCTTCTCTGCAAAACGAAACCACCGTCATCGTTTGTTCACGCCGGCGAGTTACACCACGCAACCACCGTCCTCCGGCGTGCTTCACATGAACCACCATTGTCTAACCTTTTCTCCCTCATTCATCATATATATCTCATCTCTCTCTACCTCAGCTGGTATGGAGCAAGCAGCAGCGAAACCCAACCTAGCTAGACCAACTCTTGCGGGGTTTCTTGGTTCTCTAATCAAGGTAAACCTCAGGATTTCTTATATTCTTCTTTTTAATCATGATTTGGTATCGTTCCTGTCCTT